TCGGTTACGGGTGGGAGGGGGGGAAAAGGCGCCTCCGTCCGGAGTTTCACCGGGGCCGCATTACCACGGGGCTACCGAGACTTCTTCGGCGGAGCTCCCGGCTTCGCTGCTTCTAGCCGCTCCCGGCGAAAGAACCATCCACCGCACGCCCAGCCCCAATGTCAATAGCAACCGTTAGATCCAACCGTCACTGCGCAGCCATCACCGTGGCCGCTTGGGTCCACCACTGCGCATGCGCGGCCATTCCCTACCTCATCACACCCACCCCCTTCGTGTCTTGTTCGGCACCCCGGCCGCCTCTCCCGAGAGAGCGAACAGGGCGGGGCTCGGGCGCCTTGGCGCCCTCTTTAGGCCCGAAGCCGCCTCCTCAGAGTTCCCAGGACTAACGCGGCTATTCGGAAAGGGCTTCTGCGTAGCGTAATTCCCGCGGCGAACCGGGCGGGGGGGGGCGGAACTACGACACTGCGCGGCCTGGTCGTTCCTCACTCGGCATGTCGGAGTGGAATGTGTGCATAATCATTTATCTGAGTACTGTATATGTGGAGTTCCCGCCGTTTACCACTGAGGAAACCGCTCATGTACTGTATATATACAGTAGATGAACGAGAGGACTAAAGTTATGGAAACCTGACACTTTACTGCACAGTTAGGAAGCAATACCACGATCATCCTAAACGGACCCAAACCAACCTCACAAAGTTTTATAGTGCAGTTAATTAAATCTTTTGTTTTCATATAGGAGGATACAAAATTTAAACCATTAAAGTGGGGTGTGTACATGTTTAGATGCAAGTTCCCATGAAATCAAGGGGTTTTATTTGCAACACAACAAAGTGGTAAAAACAAAGTGAAGAAAATAAAAACAATAAAAAAATCAGCTTAAATCCATAAGCATATATATGTGGAGTTAAGCTGATTTTGTTCCAAAATCAGCTTATTTTGTATTTATTGGAATGCTATATACTGTACAGTACTGTACTCAGAGAGAGAGAGAGATATTTATATTTGTATATTTATTTATTTATTGGACTTGTATACCACCCCATAGCGGTATATACCCACAGACACATATGAAGCCTAAAAGAAAAATAACTATATTAGGTGAAAATACATGTAAGTCTTCAGGACCAAGTCAAAATTCTCTCAGTATGGAGCATTGCAAAAATTTATTTATTGGAACAAATTTTCACATGCAGATACTAGGTCACTGCCTAGAAGGACCTGTCCCTGGTGCCCTGCAGCCTAGTTGCTTTGGCAAGTGTGAAAGTGTTGGTGTCCATATCAACCAGCCAACAGTCTGACCAGAGATGCTCCTTCCATTCATCTACACCCAAATCCTATTATTACTATTATTATTATCATCATCATCATCACCATCAAGTAAATCCCAGCTTATTGTTACCCAGGGTTCTTTTAAGTACCCAAAACTGGTTTGCCAGTGGTGCTCTGAGACTATCCAGCTTGCCCAAGGCTGCACAGATAACAGGGCACATTACCCTATCAGCTATTCATGCTCCATGTGATATTAGCTTGTTCCTCTTCTGGAGGGGATTTGAACCCCTAGCTTTAGTGTTCTACTCACTGAGATACACCAGCTCGTTAAAAGCCAGTTATCAAACTCTAAATTGGGTTTTGAAGCTGATATGACACATCAGCATCTACTGCTACTCAAGTGGACATTGAGTATCCAGTTTTGCTTTAGACTAGTATATAGAGTGCAGTACAGTAATCCAGTCTGAATGCCACTAGAGCAGTGATTCCCAACCTTTTTCGAGTTGCAGTCCCCTTTTATAGTAGCCAAATAACCTGTGACAACATCACATTTGTGTAAATAGTCCATCAGCATCATTCCCTACATGGTGGTATCATAGATGCTGATGCTGCTTGCCCTCCTATTTCTGCTGCCAGTTCTGCTGCCTCTACTTCAAAACTGGGGGAGGAACAGGCTGGGGACTTTAAAGATAGCCCAGTGGATGAAAGGACATAACAGTACCCAGCAAGGAGAAAAAACCTTCATGCAGAGAGGATCCACCTCAGAAACTGGCACAAAGCTTTCCTTGCACCTGCTGCAGAAGAGAAGGACCATTTGTTTTTGCATCCCCCTCCTGGGGGTTTGTTATGTGGGGCTTTTTCTTCCCTTTCCTCCTGTTCCTTCTCTTCTTTAGGCTCTCTGGAAGTTATGCATCATAATTAAAACCTCTTTCTTGTGGAAGTGGCAACAATTATATTTTTACATTGGCTTTTTTTTTGGTAAAAAATAGTCCAGGTCATCCCTTCTTAAAGAATAGAAGCTTTTTCCTCCCCCAAAAGTCCTGTTTATCATACATAATACACACAAATTTTAATATACCACTTTGAAAGGTGAAGAAAAACATTATTGAACAAGGGGTACAACACATATAAGGTGACCCACAACCCCCCAGAAAACACTTTGCAACCCCCTTGGGGATCATGTCCCCCAGGCTGGGAAACACACTACAGGATAGATAAATGAGGCAAGATAGAGGCATATCTGATATATTAGCTGAGACGGGGGGTGGGGAACCATCCACACCAGAGCTTTTTCACTTATAATTTAAAATTTCATGAAAAGCCTCCAGGGAACAGAGAAGACTCTTTGCTACATGAACTCAGTATCCATTGACAGAAGGCAATGCAAGTGGCAACAGAGCAGACAGAGGTACCACATTGTCCACTTTATGAATTACTCATTCTCAAATCCAGAACACCCGAACAGCAGTCAATAGAAATCCCAAACAGTGTACTTGGCCCTTCAAAAAGAGTCCATCTGTATACCAGCCTTCAAGCAGAGTAGCGGGTTTCCCTGTCCATAATGTTTTCATTTTATTTGGAGAAAGTTCCAGCTAGGAATTTGTCCAGTGAAAACTTTTATTTCAGTTTAATGGGGAGGGCACCTCATCTATTTTCAGTTCTTCCACACACTAGTGCTTTCAGTTGTCACAAAAGGGATACCTCTTTCAGGTCATTTTGGTTTGTTTTCCCTATACAGTACAGAGAGAAAAGACTGGGGTTGGTTGGGCAAGAAGCCGTGCATGGTGGTGGCAGCGGGAAAGAAGAGAGCAGCAGGGCTGGCTGAAGAAGGCATGGCATGGCAGTGGCTAGACAAAAAGAGGGAACGGAGAGAGGAAAATGGACAGACTACTGGATTATCAGTGTGAGGTGATTATATATACATGCGATAAGTGAAAGCGATAAATTAGGAAAACAGGGATAAACATGGACAATCCAAGTCTCTCTCATTCTTGAAATTGACTATTAGTATTTTTTAGTGGAGATGGGCATGAACCTCAGTTCAGAAGTCTGGCCCAATTCATCAACATTCTCACACAGGTGTGTGGGCACAGTGCCCTCCCCCTCCCGCCTCCCCTGCACACTTGCCCATTCCTTGGGTGATGCACTCTTCCCTCTCTGCCTCCCCAGTGTGTCTACCCACTTGCATTTTGCAGCATCTCTTCCACCTTTTTCATCCGCTGCCCACTCAAAGGCAGCACTGCAGGAATCCTTGCCCTGCCTCCTCATCTGCACCACCCAGCCAATCACCTGGCTTCCCTGTTACCAGTCAGATTGGACAGGGTTCCCATCACAGTGCCTATCTATATTTTCAAGGCTATCTTCTATAAAAGAAACAGAAGAAGATGAAAGCAAATGTAAATACCTGTTCTATGTTTCTTTTCATTCATTCCAGCCTGAAAGTTTTATACCTGGTTTCAGCTTGTTTCTCTTCATCCATCCCAGAACTACCTCTACTATTCAAGACTTTTGCAAATTTGAAGGGATGAAGAGGTGGGGATGAAAATGTCATATGTTCATTAAAGACAGTGTAAATGACTGAAGAATGTCCGCAAGCTTTATCATGTTAAAATAACAATTTCCTTACATGTTGAAGTGGTTCATCAAGTGGTCATCCATGAATTCACACAATTGGTTTCTGTGGCTGTATTGAAGCCTAGTTGGAATGTTCCAGAAACACAAAGCAGAAAGCCAAAAGCCTTTCCCCTCCCCCATCAGCTTGTGTAAATGCTCTGACTCACTAGCGGCTTTCCCTCAATCCCCTTCCTTCAGCTGCTCAAAGCTACAGAGCAGTGGTTCCCAAGCTTAGGTTTCTTGGTGTTCTTGGACAACAAGTCCCAGAAACCGTAGCCAACACAGCTAGTGGTTAAGGCTTCTGGGAGTTTTAGTCCAGGAACATATGGGGTCTCAAGTATGCTATAGAGCAATGTGGCAGGCAAGACAGGAGGAGACTAAGTTAAGTATATTCACAGATTATGACTCAAAGAACCACATTTACAGGTAAGCAATGTGTTCTTCTTCTTTGTGGTCTCCATGGATGACACAATTGACTGACTTACCAGCTCCATCTTTGGAGGAGGGCTGACATGCTGAACAGGAGAACTAATGCAGAACTGAAGACAATACTGCTTGGCCAAAGGAAGGATTTTTTTTGCTTCAGTGTTCA